CTTAGCATTGCAGACCCGTGAAGATCCGGGTTAGAATTGATCTTCAGTAGTGCCTTAGCATTGCAGACCGTGAAGATCCGGGTTAGAATTGATCTTCAGTAGTGCCTTAGCATTGCAGACCGTGAAGATCCGGGTTAGAATTGATCTTCAGTAGTGCCTTAGCATTGCAGACCTGTGAAGATCTGGGTTAGAATTGATCTTCAGTAGTGCCTTAGCATTGCAGACCCGTGAAGATCCGGGTTAGAATTGATCTTCAGTAGTGCCTTAGCATTGCAGACCCGTGAAGATCCAGGTTAGAATTGATCTTCAGTAACCCATGCTTGTGGTAAGAGGCGACTAGCAGGATCGGGTGGTCAGGCCTGCTGACTTGGCTTACACATGTCATTGTATCCCAACTGTGTAGAACGATGCTCATGCTGTTGGTCACTGGATTATGTGGTCCATACCCAAGTATTTATAGACCGCCACCATATAGCTGGAATATTGCTGAGAGTGGCGTAAAACTAAACTCACTCACTCACTCCTTAGCATTGCAGAAAGGGGTGGGCGGATGGGAGAATAATGCAGTTGAGGGACTTTAAGACAGACTGGGGTGACCCAGTTGTGATAGCTTCAGACAGCCTGACAAATTAACCTGATTACCAGAACACTTCATTTGTTCAAAGTAGTAAAGGTCATTGCTACTTCAGTTTGCCTCTTGAGTTCCATCCCCTGAGTGCACCAGGAAGCTGTGAAGATAGGTTTGAATCCCAAATTCTGACTGACTGATTGTTGTTTGTCAACACTATTCCTATACTGATGGCTTTCACCAAGATGGTAACGATTTATGACCAGAAGGACGTTTCAGGTTTCTTCCTACATCAAAACAAACCGTGCTAGAACTGAAATACTTTTCAAAGCAGCATTAAACTCAACTCGACTTGTATTCTAAGAGGCGGTGGGCGAGCTGGCTAAGGCGCCATGCTAGTGATCCAGCGAGGTTGAGGTGACGGGGATCGAGCCCACCTGCGACCGGGTGTAAAAACCCTTGGAGTCAACTTTGTGTGCAGACTCTTTCAGTGTTGTCACCACCCCTAGTGTACAGTACACAACCCTGTGCACTTAAAAGAACCCACGAATCCGTTGGTATGTGACCAGATGGTGGCCACATGAATACGTGCAAACACCCAGTTGCGGGTACAGCAACGTGCAGTGAACATGGCCAAAGTACTGTGACTATGTGTCCTAGTCCACCCAGCTGTGAATTGGTACCTCGTTAGGATGAGAAAGCCACAGTAACTTGGTGCGCCTAGTGGCTGCAAGAATTGTATACTCCCCAGGGAGTTGAGATTGATAATGCGATGTGCCGTTGAGATTGACATCCAATGATCGAGGGAAAAAATACCAGCGCCTTGAGCATGCACTAGTGCGTGGATATGTGCACTATGTAAATATCCTATCATAATAATAATAAAATTATCAACATCTTATCTGGGGTTATTTGTTTAAAATCATAGAGTTTAGATGATGTAAGTATAGAATCTGATTATCAGGATTATCAAAACAGCTGACATTTCCTAGCTCAACTGATCAAACTATGCAGGGAGGTTTGGAATAAAGTTCTTCCTGATATCTCGTTACTTTAATCTTATTGTCCTTGTCAGTGGTTGAGCTACCTACAGTTGATATCAGGTGAAACAAAGCGTAATCTCAAATAGAACATGTGTTACACAACAGCTGATAGTCACTTGAAAAACTTATTTATAATAAAAGACAAACTCACAGAATCAAATCAAGATGAATATTGGTTATGCTAACAGAAATGGTGAATGGAGGTTATGATTCTGAAGCCAGACATGCTCTACACCAAGAATGAGTATGGTTTTACGCCGCTTCTAGCAATATTTTATTAATGTCGCGGCGGGGGACACCAGAAATGGGCCGTACGTATTGTACCCTTGTAGGATATCGAACCCGGGTTTTCGGCGTGACCAGTGAACACTTTAACCACCTACTATCCCTTGCCCCTCGTACACCAAGATCATTTGAGAACAGTAGTAGGGAAAGTGAGAAAATATTGTTGATTTTGTGAGCTTAATGGTAGTAATGTTTGTGTTTATCATGTTTGTGACTTTGAACCAGGAACTACTTTTTGTTGAGTATGTGTAAACATGGTGAGTGTTTTCCCACCGATTTATGACACCGACACTTCATGGTTGAAGTATCCAGTTGTTGTGGTGTACTTTGGTAAACAAAGCTGACCTTGTTAGGACTGGAGGTAGTGGAGTACAAGGTGTACCACATATGCCAAGGTCTATTTATACCTACACTGTGTACGTTCTACTTTGGCTGTATTCCCAAGGCTAACAGCTTGATTATACATAAACACGGTAAAGGATGGGGGTGGGGCTGGTGTCAGTGCTTGGGTGTGCAGGCCTGACTGTGGACACAGGTGAGGGTGGGGTGTGTGTGGGGGAGGGGGATGCCAGTGCTTGGGTGTGCAGGTCTGACTGGACACAGATGAGGGTGTTGGGGGGGGGGTGTGTGTGTGTGTGTGTGTGTGTGTGTGTGTGTGTGTGTGTGTGTGTGTGTGTGTGTGTGTGTGTGTGTGTGTGTGTGTGTGTGTGTGTGTGTTACCAGTGCCGAGTTGTGCAGGTCTGACTGTGGACACTGGTGAGGGTGGGGTGTGTGTGTGGGAGGGGTGGGGTGGGTTCCAGTGTCTGGGTGTGCAGGTCTGACTGTGGACACAGGTGAGGGTGTTGGGGTGTGTGTGTGTGTGTGTGTGTGTGTGTGTGTGTGTGTTACCAGTGCCAAGTTGTGCAGGTCTGACTGTGGACACTGGTGAGGGTGTGTGTGTGGGTGCCAGTGCCGAGGTGTGCAGGCCTGACTTTGGACACAGGTGTGTGTGTGTGTGTGTGCGCGCGTGCGTGCCAGTGCCGAGGTTTGCAGGTCTGACTGTGGACACAGGTGAGGGTGGGGTGGGGTGGGGGGTTTTTTTTCCAGTGTCTGGGTGTGCAGGTCTGACTGTGGACACAGGTGGGGGTGGGGAGGTGGTGGTGCCATTGCCGAGGTGTGCAGGCATGACTGTGGACACAGGTGAGGGTGTGTGTGTGTGTGTGGGGGGTGATGCCAGTGCCGGGGAGTGTATGACTGTGGACACAGGTGAGAGGGGGTGGAGGTAGGGATGGGTGTGGTGTCAGTGCTTGGGTGTGCATGCTTGTACGTACTATGGACCATCTGCACTGATTTGAAGTGTTTTGGGATTTGGGGGGGTCAAGGGTCAGGCAGTTATCTAGCTATGGGTAGGGAATGTCAAAGAATGTCCGTTGCGGTGTAGGAGAGGTCAGAGAGGCTGAGAAATTAGATGTTTTTGTCTAGTCAAAGTCTGTCTGACTTACCTGTAAGGACGAAAAATTGAATACTAGTATAAATTGATTGATGGTTCATTTCAGTTGACAGTCAGTAAACAAGATTAGTAATCTATCAGTATCATCCCCACCCACAGGAACATTCATTTATTCATTGTTACGCATATGTAAGGCCAAATAAAAAAAATGTGGTTCCTATTGCACCTCTTTAAAATTTAGGGTAGGTAGGTAGGAATTTTTTTTTTTTCATATTTGTTTTAGAAGGAAAGTAACACATGTATCAATGTGTAATTGATTATTCAATCAAGACTTTCTCTATCAGAATGAGGGCAGTGGGGTAGCCTAATGGTTAAAGCGTTGGCTCTTCACGCTGAAGACCCGGGTTCGAATCCCCACATGGGCACAATGTGTGAAGCCCATTTCTGGTGTTCCCCGCCGTCATGTTGCTGGAATATTGCTAAAAGCGGCGTAAAACTAAACTCACTCACTCACTCTATCAGAATGACTGATTTCTGTCGGTGTCGGGATAAAACAATGGTGACTGAAAGCTTATTTTATTCAGTCCACTTAATAAAAATAGGGTCGGCGCCAGAATTCAAGGGTTGGTCTGGTAATCGGAACAACTTTTTTTTTAGGCCTTACCTGTAGCATATGTAACACAGGTATGTCTAAAACCTGTTTAACAGGGTTGTATGCGAAGCACAGTCAAGTATGCACAAATGGAGAGAATGGACGCCAAAAAATGAACGAAGTCATTATCTGTGTGTGTTATTCAGCCATCAGTCATGACCACTGTTCACATGACCACTGTTCACATGACCAGTGATTCATGACAGGCTCTGAAGTAATTATCTGAACAGTACGCTACACCATGACAGGACCTTCATACTACCAGCTAGTGGTGGTCCGATTAATTGAAATAATCAAAGATTGGTCGCAGTGACTAAACGACCAAGCAATCGATCATGTTTTCTCATAATCGAACACAAACAATTCTAGTACACTTGTTTTCATTGACACTATTTTTCACTAGGTTGGTTTTGTCTGTTACATTTCATAAGCACTACAAGCTCGTTCCAAGTCATGATTGAATTTATCTTAAAGACTCTAAGAAATTTATGTTCCTCCATACTAGTCATCCTTTAAAGATGTGAAATTTTGCCCAAAAAACCCAAAGAACTACATGATTTTTTCCTTATTTTTTTGTGCATTAACACATTTCATAAATGACGCTAACCAATTATTTTCGATGATTGATCGGTTGTAATGAACCAGTCATCAATTATAAGATTTTAAGCAATTCCCAATACTACTACCAGCAAGTACCTGTTGAAATATTGATGGATGTCCCCTGGACTATACTTTTGTAACTCATTAGGTAAAACCCTGGCTTAGTTTTGACTTTAGTTATCAGTGTGCAAAATAGCCTCTGCCCCACTAGCCTGTGGCTAGTAAAAATCCATTAGGGCCAGTAAATCTCCACTGGCTCCACTCTCACTGGCCCGACTGGCTAGTCAGTTTTCATGGAGACATTTTTTTAATATATCATGCTCTCCGACTTGTTAAGTTATAATACACTTTTAAATCATGCAAGATTACGGTCTGATAAATGAGGGTATTTTACTTTTTGTAATCTTTTGCTTAGTTTCTGCATTCAAATTTTGGGCTAGTGAATTATTTTGTTAGCTTGTAACTTTCAGGCATAGCCAGCCTGACTGGCTAGCCAAATATGGAAACTATTACTGTTAGTTATCATGGTGAAGGAAGATCAAGGACATGGTTGCTAGAACGCTAAGTCACACCGAGTTGTTGTGTGCACACTTGACGCAAGACTGTTGCACAGGTAACAGCACACCTGACATTACAGTGCACACTGCAGTGTGCATTTCTTGTCACAGCTTGTGGTACGATGTGGCTATCTTCAGACCAGTTGTAGTTAAGCAACCAGTGCATCTGGGCTGACATCACCATTGGCAACACAGATCTGTATGGAGTACACATGCTGAACTGGAGAGGTCCTAGACTTGCACAAGTCGCTAAGGTAAAACTTAATAGTTTAAATGATAATTTCTAAAACAATAATAAATAGCAGACTGGGGTCACAGATTGAGGTCCTTGTACTGTCCCCTTATCTAGACTTGTCTCAAAGGATAGAATTGCTATACATCCATGAGCTCAGCATTCAGTGCAGCCATGGAGCAAGGCTACAGAGGTCCCAGTAGAGGCTCATGTGTCTGTGTTGTTTATCTGGGATCAGTAACACTGGCCGGATTATTGGGCTGTGAGGGAACTAGAGGGAGGTATGTGGTTTCTTGCTATGTAGATCGGTTGTGTGTATATTTGATGTCTGGTAGTTTTGGTTTTGGTACTGACATGGACTGGACATCGTGGTGGTCAAGTCCATTATGGATGGTGTGTGACTGTGAGTGATGGTGGTACGTGTGAGAGGAGGAGGAGGAGGGTTTATATGGTTTTGTTTGTTATCTAACACTGCACTCAGCATGATTACAGATATATGGTGGCAGTCTGTAAATAATGAAGTCTGGACCAGACAATCCAGTGATCAACATCATGAGTATCGATCTGCACAGTTGGGATATGATGACATGTGTTAGGATTCTAAACTATTCTCGTAGCAAGCAGCTTGGGTTGTTTCCTTCCCAGGCTGTTAAAAATTATAACTGCGGAGCTTCTGGACCCACTGGTTGGTAAATGAAAAACACACATTTGGATAGGTAATAGTATTGATAGTAGTGGTTAAGTACTGTAGGATGATGATGATTATGATTATGATGAGAAAACACATTTGAAGAAATAGTAAAAGAGATCAAAAGGTATGGGCACGCCTTTTTTGATTATCTGTCTGGTGTAGCACTATAAATATATGTGACCTGTGGAGATCCGGGTTACAATTGGTCTTCAGTAACCCATGCTTGTCGTAAGAGGCTACTAACAGGATCGGGTGGTCAGTCTCGCTGACTTAGTTTACATGTCATCATATCCCAGTTGCGTAGAACGATGCTCATACTGTTGATCACTGGATTATCTGGTCCCGACTCGATTATTTACAGACCGCCGCCGTATAGCTGGAATATTGCTGAGAGCAGTGTAAAACTAAACTCACTCACTCTTCATGTAAAAGAGTCCATTTCTATCCCTGCACTGCAGTCAGAAACATTACTGTGGATCGTCACTTGTTCTGCCCTTGAGTTTACAAGTGCTGCCCTTGATACTGCCTACATCCTTGTAGAGTTACATTTACACTGGCTTCACTTTGTTTTGCATTATTGGAACAGGAAGAAACAGGTATTCAGTGTGGTTCTGGGTGATATAGATCTTAGCACTGGTGATTAATGTCCCAGTGTTACACAGTGTTAGCTCCCAGACAGAGGCCCTATTGTTATGGCGGAGAGGCTGAGAGCTTGTTGACTGTTCCCCTTCTGGGAGACAACAGAAAACAGAAGCAGTACATTGTTGCAATTCACTGTACATGCTGTAGATAGGCCACCAGAGTTTGTGTTCGTGTTGTGGGCGGGGCTGTTACGATTCACCCACAGGTTCATTGAATCAAACCCATGGATTCAGTTCGTTATGATTCACTTGTGTATTCGGTCAATTAAACCTTCTTGAATTCAGTTTGTTATTTGCGATCACTACAATGAAATTTTCGTGACTTTTTTAAAAAGGACTCTTTCACTTGAATTAGGGTGTTATTTATCAAACAAGATTCGGAAAAATGGAATATATCAATGTCAAGCAGGATAACTGTCAACACATCATGTATTCAGCTTGACAGTAATCTGGTCCCTGATCAGTGTTGTGAAAGATTTACACTGTCAACATTTTCAGAATGTGTCAAAGAATATATTTTGTTATTGTTTCACTGACTTTAATGAATTATACATCAGCTGCAGACTTGTTATTGTCCATTACCCACTTTTCTTATTTGTCACCCAATATATGTGACATGTATCATAATCATGTCATTGAGGATTCAGTGCTGCCCCTGTTGTGGGTTTACTGAAAGATATGGTGCCTGATTCTCACACAGGTTCAGCTGTTGTTTATCAACCATGAAGATCCGTGTTTGAATTGATCTTCAGTAACCTATGCATGACAGGTAGCCAACACAGAGAATGTACCATGTGTCAAAACACTCAGTTGTTTGTCTGACTATATCAGTGCCTAACCTACAGTAGCTTGGGAACATTTAGTGAGTGAGTTAGTGGGTTTTGTTTAACGCTGCACTCAGTAATATTCCATCTATATGACAGCAGTCTGTAAATAATCTAGCCTGGACCAGACAATCCAGTGATGAACAGCATGAGTATCAATCTAGGCAATTGGGATATAATGACAATAATTATGTGTCAACCAAGTCAGCGAGCCTGACCACCCAATCCTGTTAGTCGCCTCTTACGACAAGCATGGGTTCATGAAGATCAATTCTAAGCCAGATCTTCATGGGTTTTAGAGTGAGTGTGTGCTGAATGAGTGAGTCTGCTGGGTTTAATGCTGCTTTGAACAGTATACCGAGTTTCATCATGGTATGGTCTTCTTTCATACTTTTTGAAACTGCTGTTTGACTATAAGTGTGTGTTTGGAGGATGACCCCGTTTGACTGAAACTTTGTGCTTGATGTATGACCCTGTAACTTGACTGAAACTTTGTGTTTGATGTATGACCCTGTTTGACTGAAACTTTGTGCTTGATGTATGACCCTGTTTGACTGAAACTTTGTGCTTGATGTATGACCCTGTTTGACTGAAACTTTGTGCTTGATGTATGACCCTGTTTGACTGAAACTTTGTGCTTGATGTATGACCCTGTTTGACTGAAACTTTGTGCTTGATGTATGACCCTGTTTGACTGAAATTTTGTGCTTGATGTATGACCCTGTTTGACTATAAATTTGCGTTTAATGTATGACCCTCAGGGTATGTTTTTAGCAAACCTGGAAGACTCATACATCGGGTCACGATGGTGATAGATTTAATATCCAGATCCACTGGAGTAATAAATGAAACATCTTAAATGCTCCAAATGTTATGCCGATGGCAAGTATTGACACTAAAAATGTGTGAAATTGTAATACCTATACCTGCAAGATGGTATCACAAACTATGCTTGCATGACATGGCAATGTGTTAAAATAAACTCTTGAACAATGGAAATATATATATATATTTCTAATGTAACCACCTGCCAATGAAGATTTTTCACCAACTTTTTTTGTTAAGCTCAAAAAAATCAGTCTAACCCTCATTCAGGTAAAAGCCGGCCCTCTGGTATTTGTTTTGGCCACAGTCCAGTGGGGCTAGCAGTTAAATCAGCTTCTGTTTTGTAAATACGTGATAGTTCCAGGCCTGAGACAGATTGGTGAAGTGCAAAGAAAACTGATTTTAAGATTAAGCCTAGGTTCCCCACAGCTATTGATCAAGAAACATTAGACTTACAGGAGACTGCTTATTATCAGTTCTTCAGTAGTGAAGAATTCTTCTCTGACCTCTGCCTGTCCCAGAGCAGACCATCTTGACCTTGACTGACCCTTCTGACCCCTTAAGTATCACCTCAAGTGTTGCCATTAAATACAAAAGATAACATGAACTCATCACCATGAAAACATGATTGCTCACTAATCAGGGCAGTCACTGGTCAGCTGATTCTTTCCTCCCAGCTCTACAGTAGGTAGTTCAGTCTCAGTCACTGGTCAGAGATCTCCCTGCTGTGGGGCAGCTGTAGCGGCTATCTGCTGAAGATCACATGTTTACAGGAAACTAAGGTATTTCTTGTTGATTTTCTTGATTGTGTTTAGCTTCCAGACACTGCCGAGGTTTGGCTGATTTATTGCTTTACCCATATGTTTATCCTATGGCTACCATGATCTGCCGGTCAGGGGATCAACTCGCAGATTCATGGATGATTGTCAGGGCTATGTCAGAAGTAAAGTAGTATGCCTGTCAGGGATCCAGATAATTTTTCAACATCAGGAGTATTTACTCCTTATTTTTTCAATACAGGAGTACTGGAAAAACTTAAGAGTACATTTAGAGTACTGAATGGAACTTAATGGCGGATCAGTAATCTTGTGTTTCCTTTCATATACACACCACAACATTGCTACTCTTGTGTAAACAGGTCAATGAACAATAAAACAATACTTTTTCCGATAAATACCTCTGTAAATGATTCTAAGACTGTACACCATTGTTAAGGTGCAAATCTGCTATGTTTTCTAAATTATTCCTACCTTATCGTGCATATTTTGTTATCCGTACATACACTGATATGGCCCTTATCTGGAGTCCTGCCTGTGATCTGAGCAGTTTGGTTTTCCTTCCATGTTTAACTTTACACATGCAAATTTATGCTGATTAAAATTGCAACTATCTCTGTGAAGATTAAGTTTTGAATTGGTCACAGACTTCAGCAACTCATGTTTGGGGGCTTGATTGGGTGATCAGACTTGCTGACTTGGATGATACATGTCGTCCAGTCCTGAATACATAATGCTCATGATATCCATCACCGGATTGTCTGGCCCAGCTAATAATTTACAGACCACTGTCATATGGTGGGAATGTTTTTAACTCAGTGAGGCATTAAAAAGAAAGACATAAACAAATTAAGTTACACTGCCTTTTGCAGAGACACAGACACCACCCACACACACCCACACCCACCCATCCCAAACACACTAAACAGACAGACACACACACCAATATGAGTGAGTGAGTTGGGCTGCTTCTTGTAAGATCAACCTGTCAGCTTGATGTAGGAAAGCTGGAAGTGATGCAGCTGTTGAATGTTTGATGATTATACCCACAAGGATGTCTGTCAGACTAGCAAAACTAGAAATATGAGGTGATTCCGGGATACAACATAGAAAAACACAGGTTTATCTGAAGGGAGTGACTGGGTGCAGTGAATGGTGGTCACAACAGGGTCACCTATGCCATTTCAAGAACCTACTGCAGAGGCCCAGATAAGCTGCGTATCCGGGTAAAATACGCATAGAAAATTTCCAATTACGCATTGAAAAATAATTGTTGCGTACCAATTACGCATTTAAAATTTTAGATACACAAAAGTTTAAAACAAATGCGTACGGAATATATTTATAAAAATCGCTTGCGTAATAAAAAGACATCGATTGCTATCAAGTTGTACTTTTAGTATAGGACAAGTGTACTGTCAGTATAGGATGAGTGAATTTTTATGAAATCATTTCCATTATATTGAAGTTGGTTTTGATTAGGTATGACATAAGGCAGAACATACCTGCTTAGTAAACTTACTCAATGAGATATACTTAGGTGAGTGAAATGACTGAAATACGCACATATTTGAAAGCAGTGGGTAACGGAAAATGAAAAACCCACTCAACATTCATAATACCCACTCCAAAAAAATACAGTGGGTATAGTACCCACATGAGCTAAATCTTATCTGGAGCTCTGCTACTGGACACTAGTTAAACTCAGAAGTCAGACTGTACGGTGAATGAATGACTTAGTACTGCTATACAGTATAATTATTAATCATCATATCTTCTTAAATATACAGACACAATGTACACATGCAATTCAGAATTGCATCACATTAACAATTGTAGCATTGATATTTTATGTT